AAAAAAAAGAAAAAATTTTTTTTTGTTTTTAAACTTATGTATTTAATTATAAAGTCTTTATTATTATTATTATTATTATTTGCTTTTATTTATAATTGATTTTTCTTTTTTATTAAAGTAAAAATAAAAACGAAAGCGATACATAGATTCATTAATTATTAAAAACAGGTACGCAGTAGATTATTATTTATTTATATAGTTTTATCGTGTAAAAAGAAAAAAAAAATTTATTGATTTATTTTATTTATTTATTTTTATTTATTTATTTTTATTTTATTTTTTAATAATTCAAATCAATAATTATTAAAATAAATTTCGTTTTAATTATTAATAATAATAATAATAATCAAATGTTATATTCACGCACCTTTTTTTTGTTTTATAATCATTTTTTTTTCTTTTCTTTTCCGTTATCATTATTATCAATTCATTTACAAATTTTTTCTTTTTATTATTATTATTATCGTATTTATTAAATAAGTTATTGATGTTTGTTTATTAACAAAAAAAAAGAAAAAAGGCGCTGTAAGTATTTAATAGAGGCCAATTATAAGTTGTACTTAAGTTTTCGTTGAGGCTTTTTACATTGTCTTCAATAAAGAAAAATAGAAAAAAAAATCAATAAATCGATAATATCGATTATCTTATTATGATATTTTTTTAAAGGGGCGAAAAAGAAACAACGTCAAAACCGATTTCTTTTTTTAAAAACAATTGTTTTGTAAAAATAAATTTTTGCCTATTTTATTTAAATTATTGTTTGTTTGTTCGTAACACTTATTATTATTATTATTAATATACTTAGCAACAATATATATATATATATATTTTTATCTACGTTTAAAAAAAAAAGTAGTAATAATTATTATAATAACGAATTAAATAACTTTTTAATTGGGCTGCGTGTATTGTAGTTTTTTTTTTACATTTATTTTTATTATTTATTAAAAAATAAATTTTTATTAATTTATTATGTATATTTATATAAATAAGTGAATCACCCTGAATAGGTCACCTTACGTAATTTCTATTCAAATATTAAATTAATAATTATTATTGTTTTTGTTTTTTGTATATTGTTTAGTTAGGGCACTGAATATTTGTATTTTAGTTACAGAATAAAATTTTTTTTTTGTAATATCAACTTACGGTAAAAACTCTTATTAATTATTATTATTATTATTATTATTTTAATACGTAAGTATTTTTTTTTTTTTTTTCAATTTAAATTTAAATTTAATAAATTGTTTTTTCTATTAATACGAATTTTTATAAATGAAAATAAAATAAAAGAAAACTGTAAGATGTGAGGTAGTTAATCAAATAATAATAATAATAATAAAAATGATAATAAAGTAGACAAATAAGATGAGGTAGACCATTTGTTTTTTTTTTTTTTTTGTCGGATTGTTCTAAAATAACCAAATGATGAATATTATGCAGAGGTAGATGGATGGAATCTAGTAGCCTGTTTCCCAATTATTTACATTTGTACTATCATCAGGAGGCAAATAATAATCGTCTCGAGCACTCTCCTGAGACTAATCCGTTTTAGAAGGTTCTTTTTCGTCTTCACTATAATCACCCTCGGGTTCTGAAGAGTCTTCGTCCTCTGCATCGTCTCGTCTATCGTGATTCACTTTAATGTTATTCATACTAGCAATATCACTAATGGCTGCTATGTTAGCGTGATGAGCAGCCGCTGCGGCGGCCGCGGCCGCCGCTTCGCTTATCATTCCGCCAGAATTTTCAACGATAAATTGTAAGTACGTGTCTATAAGAGCACTACCCGTAGAAGTAGGGGGTATCGAAGGAGTCGAAGGATTGTCGCGATCCCGAGTACTATTTTTAACTAGGTTCTGAGCTATTGAATCTATTGTTTTTTGAGAAGCGTGTACGGCTTTCGGAGTGGCTACTTTCGTTATAACGGCTCCTCCTAAGTGTTGTCCTTGGCTGACGATGTGAGGCGGAGACATGTTAAACCTAGAATTGGGCACTGTTAAATCTTCCGGATCATCTCCTCCGCATAAGCTTCCAACTTCTGAAAACCTATCGACTAACGGTCCGTTATGACCAGGTCTTATTTCTAATCTTATATCCGATCTTCTGGGTCCTGTCGGTGATGCTCTTGCTCTCAGTTCCGCGGCTGAAATTTTAACTCCAGCCTTAGCCAAAAGCTTACTGGCAAGTTCCGGGTCAAAAGGCGCAGGCATGGGTACAACTGGCAAATCCTTTGTGCTTATCCCCCGATGCTGTCGCGACATGTGAGAATGAAGAGAATTCCGAGATTTTGCGACTGTTCCGCAAAGAACGCAACGATATCCGGGGCAGACTGTATGTTTATCTTCTAAATGAGTTCTCAGGGTGTGAGCCGAACGATATATTTTTCCACATTTCGGACAGGGTCGAGGATCCGTTGCTCTTACTCTCAGCATATCCAATCCGCGTCTGGCCACTGCAAAATTTTTATAATAAGTTTTTGTTTTCGTTTTTTTTTTTTTTTTTTTTTTTTTAAATTAAATTTTTGTTAATTATTATTTTTTAAATTTCATCATTATTACCTCTTAAATATTATTATAAATTAATTAAAAAAAAAAAAAAAAAAGTGAACCCCGAAGCGTTAAAACAGCAAAACAACAAGAACAAACAAACAAAAAAAAAAAAAGAACAGTAAAGGAATACAGTAAAAAAAAAAAATTTTAATTTTTTTTTTTTTTACTTTTTATTTAAAAATATTATCATTAAGTGTTACTTATGTTAGTAAGGTATAGTTATATAATTATATTCATGCTTATAATAAATTATAATATATATATTATTTTCTGTTTTTTTTTAAATAAATATATATATATATATATATATATACGTATCATTAACACGACATTTATTTTTTTAGATATTGTTTTTCGTTTAAAAAAAAAAAAACAAACAAACTACAAAATTTAAATAAATATTGAAAAATTGGACAAAAGCTTATTATATATCTATATAATTATCATTATATTATATTACATTATATCGTAATATATATATATATATATATATATATATATATATATATTATTTTAAATCATCTTTATATATATATAATATTTTTTGTTTTGTAAATATATATTTTTTTTAAAATTAAAATGACAACACGAAAAAAAAAGAGGAACTTATGACAAGACAAAATCATCTAAAAAAAATAAATAAATTAATAAATAAATAAATAAAAAATAAATAAAAAAATAAATAAAAACATCTAAAGCATATTAAAAAGCTATCTACGGCGGCGAACTAATCAGTCATATAATAGCGAGTGCTTAAACTATATTATTATTATTATTATTTTTATATATATATATATAATTTATATAATGATATAATAATATTTTGTGGTTTATATTAAAATGAGATCATTCTTATCATATCGTATGATGATAGTAATATTTATAAAATAATATTACCATCATTTATTATTATTATTATTATTATTATCATCATCACTACTTTTTTTATATCACGAATTGGAAAAAAAAAAAAATAGACACTCTGTGTGTGTGATGATAATAATAATAATAATAAATTAGTAACAGTTTAAAAAAAAAAAAAGTTTCTTTTTTGTGCACACGAAACTTAATTTAATTTAAATTTAATTTTTTTTTCTTTTTTTATTATTTAATATTATTTTTTTTTAATAAAATATTTTTCTTTCTTTTTTTTTAAATTACCAAAAACTACAATTATAATGTGACTGTTAGGTGTTTTTAGTAGTAATAGTAGTTTTAGTATTAGTAGTAGTAGTAGTAAAACAACAAACAACAAACCGTTTTTTAAAAAATTTAGAAAAAGAGAAAAAAAAAAATTAGTTTTTTGACGTTACAACTAAGTTTAGTTATCATATGTAAAACGCGTTTGTATATGTGTGTATAAAAATTATTATTATTATTATTATTATTATTAATTATATATTAATAAGTTAAAAATAAAGCGTCTGCTTTCTAACGAAACGTTACTTAATTAATATAAATATATATATTAATGTTATATTTGTATAATTATTGAAAAAATAATTGTAGATTAAATATAGGAACTATTTTTTGTTTTTTTTTTTTTTTTTTTTTTTTTTAGTTTTAATAACTATTAATTTATTAATTTACTAAGAAACTTATTATTATTATTATTATTATTATTATTATTATTTATTCCCATTGTAAAAATCTTCGTGAAGTTAAACGCTAAGTAATAAATAATTTTTTTTTTTTTTTTATTTCTTCTTAAAAAATATTTTTGGACTGAATAAATTGATTTCCGGTCGTAATTGTAAAACCGGGTAAAACTAAGTAAATGACTAATTTTAACCAACTAACTAACTAACTGACTAACTTTTCACTACGATAAAATAATAAATAATTTTTGACGTAAATTATTTTATAAAAAAAAAATTTTTGTACCATTTTTTTCATAAGTTAATTATTAAATTGTTCGTATAGTTTTCGTTTAAAAAAATTGCGAGTACGCGCGCGAATTAGAAATGATTCGCCGATTGTTTGTTTGTTTGTTTGTTTGTTATTTCGTTTGTCCGTCTGTCGGTCGGAAAGTATTTCATTTAAAAAAAAAAATAATAAAAAAAAAAATGAATAAGTAAATAATAATAATAAGATCGTGGCGATTCAGAAATTTCTCATGAATCTTGATCTCTGTCGAATTCCATGAGTTTGCAACAAATGCTGCAACAAATATTGCCTAGATTTGCACTTCTTTTGACAAACGTGGCACATTTCCCATTGATCGGGGGGCCCGTGCATATTTTTAATGTGCTGTTTTAAATTCCCATGGTTACTGCACGTCCTACCGCATTCTAAGCACACGGGTTTGAAATTTTGCTGCGCTAATTTCCAGAAGTCTAACATGTCTTGAATATTTTTTCTCGTATCTACGTTATCCGTTAAATTTTGAATGTTAGACGCGAGAGACTCGCTTAATGGAAAGTTATTAGTATCAATTATATTATCTCCGGTAATTAATTGTAAAGGTGAGATGTTTTCGTTTTTAGTGTTGGCGATCTTGGTTATTTGCGAATCCCCGGGAGCATTACTTGATGGAGATATCCTTCCACACCCTGGAAATGCCACGAATAAAACTACATGTACTAAAAAAAATTCCTTTTTATCATTTTTTTTTTTTTGAGAAAATTTTTTATATATAAAAAAATATAAACCACTAAAAGAACCTTTCTTCGATAACCTATCGATAACCGAATGTAATAATTTTTTTTTGTCGATTCGATTGATTGTATGAAGACAAAAAGAGAGAGAGAGACTGAGTGAGAAAAAAACGGGGGGGGGGGGTAACACCTTAACAGTCACAATAGATAAATATATAATTTTCTACTTTTTATCTTTTTTTTTTGTTTTTTTGTTTTTTTTTTTTTGTTTTTTTTTTTTGTTTTAAATGTCTAATTATTTAAAGACGTGAAATTGTTTCACTGAGAATTAGCTTGTTGTGAGGGGTCCCAGGGGGGAAAGCCGAGGGGAGCCGGCGACTTGCGCTGGCGAATCCCATGACTAGCTAGTAGATGAACCTGAAGATACTGTCTCGTTTTGAATTGTTTGTTGCACACTTGACACGTTTCGAGCTGTTGCGGGGAAGCGTGAACGTTAGCCAGGTGCTGCTTGAGATTGCTATTGTTGCTATATGCTTTTCCACACTCGGGACACACGGGTTTGTTGTTCTCCGATGAAGTCGTTCTCTGATGATCCCAATTACTACGGTTCCAGTTTCCTGAAGGAGGCGATTCTACGGCGAACCTCGTCGGACCCGGCCCCGGCCCTGGAACCCCATCATCCATCAGTCACGATGCCCTAATACTGCAATACAGACTTGGAAGCATCTTTGGATGCGCTACGCATTATTTATCCTACTTTTTTTTTCTTTTCTTTTCTTTTCTTTTCCTTTTTTTTTAATATTTAGGATAAATAATTTTTTTTTATATGTATATATTTTATTTTACTTTTCTTTTTTCTTTTTTTTTTTTTTTTGGAAATCGAATTTTTACGCTTAAAACCGCCCCCCGCCCCCTCGAATAAAAATTTTAATTAAAAAAAAAAAAAAAAAAAATTCGTTCTAATAAATCCTCGAATGAAAAATGTGTTCGAAAAATACGCGGGTAAAAATTTTCTTTCTTTCATTTTTATTTTTCATACGTTGGCAGGATGTATAAAAAAAAATAATAACAAAAAGATGACGAAATGAGAAGGGCTAGCGTTGTTAAAAAGGAACAAAAAGGGGATTTGCAAAAAGAGAGAGAGAGAGAGAGAAAAAAACAAAAACTAATAATACGCATTTGATCAATATGAGAACGAGATGATAAAATGTGACCAAACGTAACTGGGCGAAAGGAAGTCACAAGCACACACGCACACGCACACGCACACGCACGCACACACGTACAATCTGCGAAGGGGGAAAAAACAAAAGGGCAAGCCAAGTAATGTGCTTGGTTTTCAACGGAGAAGGATGAAATCACTTTCTATTGATTTTTGCTTAACTCAATCAGACAAAATCATCATGGCGGAATTTTTAAGCTTATTTTCCCTTTCGACAGATATCAATCATAAAAAAAAAAAATTAGAAATAATAATAGGACCGAAACAAAATAATGATGATGATGATGATGATAATGATGATTAAAACGCTTGCACAATACCCCAAGTTTTTTTTTTTTTTTTTAAAAAAAAAGGCATTAACAATATTTATTTTTCTAAAATCTACATTTGTAGCTTATAGCGTTTTTACCAACAACTAAAATATATATAATTTAACAATAATAATAATAATAATAATAATAATGTCGTGTATTGAATGTAAAAAAAAGCGAAAAAGTACTAATAATAATAATAATAACAAATAATAAAAATTAAAAACGCATATTTTGCCAACTTGAAAAAACAAAAAAAAAAATATCGAATCCAAAGGGAATATTCGTACGCGAAAAAAAAAAATTAAATTTTAATATGCGATTTTATATTCTCGTTTTTTTTTTTTTTTTGAAAACGCGCGCGCGCGTACTAACTCACGCACGCACGCACGCACGCACGCACGCACGGATATCCTTCCCATTATAAATATATGTATATATACGTTTTCCCTCCCCCCATTTTGTTGAAATTTTACCCGAAAATAAAATGATACGTGTGTGTGTTGTTTTTACTGAAAAAGAACTCAATTAAATAAAAAATAAAAAAAAAAATTATTTTTAGAAACTTTGATTGTTCAAATATAGCCCTTAATTGGTGAAAAGAAAAATCAATAATAAGAGAGACTACGGACGGACGAGGAGGGGAGGAGGAAGAAGAAGAAGAAAAACAACAACCGGCGAATCATATATCGTTATGTACAATTATAAATCGAACGCCCTGCACATCGTCGTTCTCGTCCTCGTCCTCGTCGTCGTCGTCCATTTTCTTTTTTCTTTTTTAATTAAAAATATGAGTCAGACTTTTCATCAGTCTAACAATCAAATTTATTAATCACAATTTTTTTAAAAATCTTTCCCTAATTAAACTGCATCGTATGAAACGTTTTTTTTTTCAGAAGGGGGAAAAAGAGGAGAAATGATAAAAGTTTTTTCTTTTCCTCATTTTTTCCTACCCTCCACCTCCCTCCCCGTTTCGAACGCCTACGATTTTTTCACGCGTTGAAATTTTTCAATTTTCTATACGTTAATTCTTACGGAATAAAAAAAAAAAAAAGTTTTTAACGGCCGTCGGTGAAATAGCAAACCGGAAAAAAAATTCATTTAGGAGAGAAAGAGAAAGAGAGAGGGGTTCAAAAGGAGAGACGGTTAGAAAGGGAGAAAGAGAGAGAGAGAGAGAGAGAGAGAGAGAGAGAGAGAGAGAGAGAGAGAGAGAGAGTAAAGGAAAGGGATTTAATTTAGGATTAGAATCCGCAAAAGGTTTTCAGTTTTTCTTTTTTTTTTTTTTTCTGTTGTTTTTTTTCCACGTTTTCGAAATTCGGTTAAAAAAAATGATGATAATAATAATTTGACTCCTGGTTTTTTCGTATTAATAATGATGATGTTGATGATGATGACGTCAAATATTATTTATTAATTTGTTTGTTAAAATTTTTTTTTTTTTGTTTAAGAAAGAAAAAAAATTTCATTCGGTTAATAATAAAAAAAAAAAGTTCTAATGAAGATGTTAAAAAAAACAAAACCCAATTTTTAAATTTTATACACGTTTTTTGTTGTTGTTATTATTATTATTATTAATACTATTAGTATTATTATTATTATTATTATTATTATTGTTATTATTGTTACGGTTATTCCCATGGTTAGTATTTAATTATTAAAAAAAAAAAGTAAAAAAGTAGTGTGAAATTTTCTTTTTCTTATTTTTCGAAACGAAATTAAAAATTTTAATTAATTAATTAATATAATTTTTTAAAATATTTATTTACTTAAAGAAATTTGGCAACGTTTCATTTAGTTTCATTTCATTTGTTTTTTTATTTGAAAAAATAATAAAATTTTAAAAAAAAGTAAAAAAAAAAAAAAAAAGTTCACACTACTCCGTTTTCCGAAAAAAAAATTTTCTTTTTTAATAATTTTTTTTTTTTTCTTGTTTTAAAATTTAATTAAAACTTACGTTCGCCAAAATTTGGATCTTGGCTGGCGTGAATTCCCGAAGGACCAGGTAGCAATCCAGGAAGTCCTGAAAAAAATAAAATAAAAGAAAAAATAAAAAACTTGGAGAAATTTTTTTTTTTTTTTTTTCGATAAGTTTTTTTATAAAAATTAAATCGCGAATCGTTTGTCGTTGACGACGACGACGACGACGAACACGATGATAATAATAATGATAAATTTTCACGGTATAAAAAATAAAAACGTAAATTAAAACAATGGCGAAAATGAATGAAGGCATGTTATTGAAATCGTATAACAACCGCAGCCTGTCACCATTTTGAAAATTTTAGAAATTATGTAAATAAAATTGAATTTTAAAATTTATTTAATCAAGTCAATTTTACAAATATTAAATAATTATTATTATTATTACGTTACGTCACATTAAGAAATTTATAATAATATTAATAATAATAAAAGGAAAGACGAAATCGTAATGGGACAAATTTAAAAAAAAAAAAAAAAGAAAAATCACGCGTTTATCATGACGTCACGCATTAAAAAATTATAGCAGAAAAAAAAATGGAAAGATGTGCGTACTGTCGTAAATATTTTATAGCGGTTCGTTTTTGACTTTTTTTTCTTTTCGACTATAATTTTCATTCCCGATCCCCGTTTTCGACAAGGTATAATTTTATAAAAAAAAAATAATAATAATAACAATTATGGTTTTTTATTTGTATGACGAAAAAACATCCCTCGTTAAAAATTTTAAAAGTTGCAAAGGAAACGTTCTATTTTATTTATTTCTCCTTTTATTTTTTTTTAAATCTATTGATGTCAACCCTTTTTTTAAAAAAAAAAAAAATTATTTGTATTTTTTTTTTGTTGTATACGTCACCTTGTAAACCGAGAAGTGCTGCTGGAAACGATGGCGTTCTAGAAGGATCTAAATGATTAGACATGTTGTGAGGTGGCGGATCATCGTTCGGACTAAAATCAGAAGGCTCAGATTTTAAATGTGGCAATTCGGTGGGACCTCGATCCGATAAATTTGTATCACTTGAATTACTTTCTTCTCCGGTTGAATGAGCTTGTAACGACGATTCCGAATTTCCTTTCTATAAAAGTCACACACAAAAAAAAAAAAAAAGAAAAAAAAACGTTTTTAAATAAATAAATTATTAAAACGTTTTTTTTTGTTTTTATATATATTGGAAAGAGACGACGACGATTTCCGTTTCTTTTTTTTTTTTTATTTCATTTTCTTTCGAACGAAACGAACTCGAAACAAGAAAATAGAAAAGAAAAGAAACGAGGTCAAAGAACAATAAAAAAAAAAAAAAAAAGAAAGAAATTTCGTCATACGAAAACATTTAGTTACTCCCAATTTATCGCAAGTATGATGATGTTAATTACGATAAAAAGCGATTATGCCAGTTTGTTTTTCCTCTCTCTCTCTCTCTCTCTCTCTCTCTCTCTCTCTCTTTCGTTTTAAGTAGTATTTGGCTTTGATATTTAGTTTTTGGATATGATGTCATAGAAAACAAAATAAAAACGTATGTAAAAAAAAAAGCAGGAATAATAATAATAACAATAATGAAATTTTTTTTTTTTTTAAATTAATTAATAGTGACGGTCTCGCAATCATAATTTATTATTATTATTATTGTCATCATCATCGTAGGAAATAAATAAATAAATAAATAAATGGATAATGACTCTTTTTTTTTTCGGTTAACCCCAGATGACCTTTCGTTTAATTTCATTTTCGAATTCGTAAAAATGTATGGATATGTACTCACGTGATGCGAAGTACCAGAATGAAGAGTCGGACCACCTTCCAATGCTTGTCCGAGTAGTGAATCTCTCATAAGATCGAGTCCACCGTTTAAGGGTGTCGATGGCGATGGCGATGGCGATCGTCTGCTATCCGTTCTTGTCCTTTTCGAAGGCGGAGGTGTCATGCCCTCGCTAAGTCGACCATCTCTATCTGTCGCTTTAGACCACGGAAGTGAATTTGACGTCTGAAATTTTTACAAACTCGGATGTAAAGCTTGACTTAACATTAAAACACGTGCGCGCGTGTGTGTGTGTGGGTGGGTGTGCGTTTTCGGGGGGAGGGGGAAAATATATATCGATCGGGCGTTAATGAAAAAAAAAAAACTTTTTTAATTTTTTGTTGGTTTTTGTTGCCTGTGCAATTAAATGTCCATCAACAGCAGAATAAAATTACAAAAATGATTGACTCGAATCGATAAGTTAAATCGAGTTTAAGGACACGGGAATAAAAAAATTTTTAAATGGAGGACGAATACGATGAAGGTATCGTTCTCCCTACTCCTTCCGGAAATTTCGACGAATCCCCCAATTTTCCCCCCCCCTCCTTTATTTTGGGATTTCAGTTTTTTTTTATATTTTTATATAAATAAATTAATTTATTAAAATAATAAATAATTACTCAAAGGAATGAATGAATGAATGAATCACGACGTTGATTACACGTACGTCAATTATTTATATATGTATACTTTCCAAGAAAAATTTGTCATTCATTCGTCCCTCTTGCTCCCTACGTCCCGCGTTATTCCCCCCCCCCGCCGAAAAAAAAAATCCCCGCGTAATTTTTAATTTTTTTTTTTTTTTTTAATGAGAAATTTTAATTATAACTCTGACGAGTTTGGTATTTTTGTTAAATTTATTAAACGGAAAAATTTTTTTTTTTTTTATTACTATTTCGCATTATTGAACGCAAAATGAAATCGACACACAAAAAAAAAATCAAGGGTCACAACCGTATCGTTTGTTTCGTTTGTTTGTTTGTTTGTTAATAGTATATAAAACACATAAATTTAACTTGGGTTTTTTTTTTTCCTCTTTACTTTTATAATTTTTCCCAGACTCGAAACAAAAAAAAAACAAAAAACCGTTACGCGCGTTTTAAATATTAATATAATAATAATAATTATTATTATTATTATCATTATCATTATTATTATTAACACACGTTTAATTTTTTTTTTTTTTTAGTATTATTCATTCGTCAACGCTTGTTGTTTTTTTATTCCGTTTTAAAAACCTGAAAACCTTGCCTTGATTTTTAGGTTTTTTTCATTATTATTATTATTATTTCGATTAAAAGAATAAATTCGTGAATGATTATTTTTTTTCAGGTATTTTTGTAGGTAAAAAAAAAATTCGAGGTCTTTTTGTGAGTGTTGGCGAGTCAATAATAATAATAATAATAATAATAATAATAATAATCCGACAATACACACGAACGTCATCGGAATCAAGTTTTTTTTTTTTTTTTAATTTAAAGAAGGCGGGAGAGAGAGAGAGAAAGAAAAGCGGTGTTATTCGTTATTATTATTATTATTATTATTATTATTATTAATATTAATATTTACCGACATAGTATTATTCGTTAAATCGATAAATCGTGTGATCGTTGCACGTATCATCGATTTTTAATCGTAAATCGTCGAAAGGTATAACAATAATAATAATGATAATAATGATAATAATAAGTGAAAAATATTTCACGTCGATCTAAATAACTAACCAACCGCGTGTTTGAGTGTGCGTGTGCGCGAGTGACGAAAAAATGATCTCACGGGTCAAATGACGACGATATATATATATATATATATATGTGTATGATAACAAATCACTTAGATTATCTTTTACCCAACTGTCAACTCTCTCTCTCTCTCTCTCTCTCTCTCGCACCTACTATAAATTTTATCAATGAAAAAAAAAAAAATATGTTTTCTTCTTTTTCTTTTTCAAGAGATTTTAAACGCGCCAAATACGGGAGGGAGCAATGGAAGTAGTAGTAGTAGTAAAGAAGGTAAAAAGAATAAGTTGTCAGTCGGGAATTTTTGAATAACGTAATAATAAAAAAAAATAAAAAAAAAATAAAAACCTCTTTCCCCGAGGTTGTTGTTGTTGTAAGTAAGGCAAGAGAGAGGGGGTGGGGAGGAGAGGGAGAGAGAAAAAAAAGCAACAGGAAATGTGATGATTTTAATAATATTTAAATCTATCACTTTTCACTCTCGGTTTCCCCTCTCCCTCCCCACCTTCATTCTCTCATCACCATCATCATCTCCTCTCATTTTATTCCGTGTCAAAAGAAAAAAAAAAAAGGGGGAGGGGGAGCTCTTAGGTGAAGTAGTAGTAGAGTGTAGTAAATAAGAATAAAAAAAAAAAATTGTTGAATGGATTTATCCCCGTGGCAAAGTTTTTTTTTTTTTTTTTTTTTTTTTTGAGATACAGGATATGATTCACTTTCAAAAGAATTTCTTAAACGTTCTTCTTTTTTTCTTTTTCTTTTCCCTTTTTTTTCTTTTTCTTTTTTATAATTTTGACAAGTCGTTTAAAAAAATAAAAAAAATAAAAAAAAGGGAAAAACTGGAAGAAAAAAAAAGAAAAAAAATTTTTTTTTTTTTATTTTTTCTTCTTCGTTTGAAAGTTTTTATTTTTTTTAATAGAAAAGAAAAAGTTTTTGATTCCCATTAGAGAGAGAGAAAGAGAGATAAAAGCTAAAGAGAGAAGATTTTTTTACGGGAAGAAAAGAGAGAGAGAAAAAGTTGTTTTGAGCGTTCAAAAAAGTGAAAATTTTTTTCGCTTCCTACTACTACTACTACCACACACATACTTTTACCTCATCACATTTTATGCAAGGAAAATCTCGGTTAATTCCACGTCATTCAAAAAAAAATGAAAAAAAAAAAAAATGAAAAGAGAGAGAGAGAAAAGTCGATTTGCACCTTTTTTTTTTTTGTATTTGCTTCTTGTTTTTTTTTTCTAACCTTTTTTCTCCCACTCTCTCTTTCTCACACTTTCTTTATTTCTTTGATGTTATTAATATCCATGCCAATATCTTTGCTCTCTAGACTTTGTAAAAAAAAAAAAAAAGAGAGAAAGAGAAAGAGAGAAATGAAGGAAATTGAGAATGAAAAGAGACAGACAGAGAGACAGACAGAGAGGGAAAGGGAAAAAAAGGTTTTCAAGAAGTAGGTGAAAATTTTTTTTTTATTTTTTATTTTTATATTTTTCCCCGTGGAATTTATTAGAAAGTTAAAAAAAAAAAAAAAAAAAAAAAAAAAACTTTTCGTACCCCCCCCCCCCTTCCCCCTTTTTCGAAGGTTAGGGCTCAACGATTTAAAAGAAGGTTAAATGAAAATTTAAAAAAAAAAAAAAAAAAAAAAAAATTGGGCCCGGGGGGGGAAAAAAAAAAAAAAGGGGGGAAAAA